GGTAGAGTTTTGACGGGCTCTGAGGTACACGGCTGTTGTCTCTTTCTCGACTTAGAGACGTGCAACGTTTTCTAGTCGAAAAAGGAGATGTGGGTCTTGAGTTTTCCTGCAAATTCAAGTCCCGAATTCAAGACTCATGGTCTCATGCCAGGTCTTGAATGTAAAACCAGGTAACTGGTTATTATTTTTTCGTAATAACCCCGGGTAGCAGGTTATTACGGAAAAATAATAACCTGGTAGCAGACTAGCAGGTTATTATTTTTCCGTAATAACCTGCTACCCGGTTATTATTTTTCCGTAATAACCTGCTACCCGGTTATTATTTTTCCGTAATAACCTTCAAACCCGTATTTCCCCCGGAGAGACTGAAGGTTATTACGGGGGAGTTAAAAACCGACGAAATACAAAAGAATATGGTCTGATGAGTTTGTAAGTGGAGTTTTTGTACTTCATCTGTCAAGAAAGGCGAGAGGTTACTGCATGCATGTATTTTCTTGTGTGATTTAAATAGAGAAATTCCGAAGGGAAAGTGAACTTGTTTTAATGTAAATTGTTCGTAAGACAGGAAACGCTATTGCTTATACTATCCGTGATATGCTTTTATCACATCGATACTAGAAATAGATGTACATGCATGCAGAAACCCCTCGCCTTGACAGCAAAACCATTACATTTTCTGTTTGGCTGCACGTTCTCTAAATAAAGTCTTTCAATGCCTTGTAACAAACGTCGGCGTCTTTGCTAGCTTCTTTTAGCAAGTCTTTCGCCTTTTTCCCCGTGTTCTTGCTGGTTTTCGTTTGGTTCCATAACTTTTCTTTAGTATTTCATTTGTTTAATTACCTCGGGTCGGTACGACACCGAGGTCATAAATTCGGCTCCTATTTTTTTTTTTTTTTTCCATTTATGTCGAGCCGTGCGCGTAGTCGAAGTGCCTGCGGAGGAGACGACAACTTCCGGTAAATAAGTGTTCTTCCGGAAAATTTCAAGCATCGGCAAAAGCGAAACGCAACCCGAAGCTGTCCTTGCACAAAATCCGAAGATGTGATAATTTGATAAACCAGAAGATGTGATAATTTTGACATACATGTTTAGCTGGATAACTATTCTCGAGTATATGTTGATATAATGCACAATACTTCGTATGCATAGCATGGGAATACCGCGGCCAACTTTCACTTGTTATCTATTATAATTACTGACCCAAATCAAAAGTAATTATTTTCGGCTGGAAGACTACTGTACGTTGCTGCTTGTCGGGACCGTATGACAATGAACCTATCCAACGTTACACTAGACATTTGTGAGGACATGCATATAGACATAACCATAGGCACTGTAGTGCATTGTGATAGAACAGATTTCAGTTTAATTAATCGCCCTAAATTAAAATCTCCACAAGCGGAGGTCAATTATAGTGTTCTAAAGTTTGTTCGTTCACTGCAACCAGGTATATCAATCATGTTTCGCTCGTCACTCTGGTTTAAATAAATGATTACAAAGCCCAGTCGAATTGTAATCAAGACCCATATAGTGTTCTAGTTTACATATTATCATTAATGATAAGGTTTACTCAAATAGCGTATTGGATCAACACGGGAATAGAACTTATGGTGTATTCTGCACATGCGTATATCTAGGATAAAATCCCACAAGCGCAAACGAAACTATTTCTCTATAAAATTGAACTGAAAAGACTCACAGCGACCGTTTCCAACAGTGCTTCAGGCACCCGACGACACCGTATGGGGCGCCTTTAGCACTGTCACCTTCTCATCTTGGGATGTTCACGTTATCGCGTGTACATGTCAGGGTGACGAAGATGCATTATTATAAGTAATAGCATAAAAAGAAGCGAATTAGCTATTAAAACGTCCCGCCCGATGAGGGTCGTTTAGTATAATTCCCTTGGGCGCCGCTCGATGAGGGTCATTTAGTAAAATTCCCGAGGGCCGAACCCAAGGGAATTTTACTAAACGACCCTCATCGGGCGGGACGTTTCAATAGCTAATTCGCTTCTTTTTATGCTATTACCTTATAATATCATGATTGCGGGTATTCCCGTTGTTCTCGCAGGGTCATTAAAAAACAATTAACAATAAATAATGGTATAAATTAAATGGTATAATTTGGCGATTTCAGATATCTTAATTTATATTCATTTTTTCTAATCGTACCCGCTTTGACGTCGTTTCGGGTAGGATTAGAACTAATTCTACCTGACATGACGTAAAAGCGGGTAGGATTAGAAAATATGAATATAGTGAGGTGTATTAGTTTTTAATTGCCCTGTGAGAACAAAGGGAATACCCGCAATCATGATATTATTGCTAATAATGTCTGTGTGCACTGATGCACGCTGCATTATTTTTACTATAATGTTGTGTGCTATTTTAACGCGTACATAGAATATGACGCGTATAAACATTTACCCCTGAGCCGGAATTTCCCTATACAACCAAAAAGGCCGCTCCCGTTTTTCAGTAGAACGTTAAATGAAAACTTCTCGACATTCGCTGATATAATGCAGAGAGAAAACAGTAGGTTTGATGAGGGCCAGTAATTATTATCAATAAAATATTAAAACGGAGCTTTGATTAACTGATTCACCATTTATACTAGTCAACTATTAAACTATCGTGATTTACACAATTTTTGGATATTTACCAGACGATCCCCTATCCACCGACCCGAGGTTAACGCCGAGTCGGCGTCTTGTTGTTTTTAAATCACTAAATCAGATTAAAAATCACTTAATTGAAGATATTATTATTATTAAATAATTTTAGTTGTAAATTAAATGTATAATTGTAAATAAAATTTCTTTCATAGAAACCATGCAATTCTTTTGGACGGATACAAGTACGCCTAGCGTACCTATTTTTGTAATATTTCGATTTTGTACAAGTTATGGACAAGTTTACTGGATCATTCATTTCATAAATCCAATTATTTTTCGATAGTTTGCAAGTAAACATTGCATCAGATTTACTGGTCAACTAGCCAATCAGAACACGTGAAAGCTCATTTGGTATGCAAAACTTTATTTTTTAGCTGGAGCTATGAGATTGCCTGGTAATGTGGCTGGTACAACCGAAAAATCACACTTTTTAACAGATGCTTATATTCAGCAGTTTAACCTTCGTATCAAAGCGTTTCCAAACTACGATGCCAATGGATTAACCCATATTTATGGTTTTCCGACAGAAAAATCCAGCGGTATGTATGCTTACTGTTAAATTACTTTTTTCTAGAGGTTTCGCAAAAATTTGCTCTGCTTGGTTTAAAAATGTTATTTTAAAGATAGAATAGCCACATATCACACTCAAATATGTTTTATTACAGTGATTTCATTACAGTACGTTTTATTACAATTTGGATTCGCAAGATTTTGGTGCAGTATTGGCCGACCTTTTGATACTTTAACTTGAATAAAATTAATATGATTTTACCCGTCAGAATTTTTAGCAATGAAATTTTTAATCAGCATTCAATATACGTTTGTATGATAGGAGGCTATTCGCCGTCTTTCGCGTGAAACTTTTGGAATATTGTAAGAAAGCGCCTTAGTTTTGGTGTTTCTGTATATAACTGCCCTAACACTGCCATTGAACTAAAATATTATTAGGCGGGGCTATTGCTGTCATTTTCATACTTTAAATTGTGCTGACTTGTATTTTATAATGAACATAATCCCCGTTTTACTTACTAAAAGTCTAACCAAGGTCCATTCATGTGAGTGCTTACACATTACTATTCCACTGTATATAAATGTAGAACGAAATTATAACTTGCCCTATGCCCTTCAAATACATATAATAGAATACCCAATATTTACGATGCCCAACTTGCATTTCCCAATTGAATTGACGTTACACATATATACATTTGTCAAACAGCTTGTTACACTGATTAATGTGTGACCTTCGTCGGTTCTACTAAAACGATGAAACTACGTCTATATTATATAGGTTACAAACAATTATGCTAAATTGCTACTAATTTGTTCAATATAAAAATAAATATCCGGAATGTCATTAGGACCGTACTAAAGTATGTTAATTGTTAAAACTGAAAACAATTATAATCTCAGTAATGTCTTAACGAACACAATTATTACGTTAACTGGTATTGAACTATACAAGGCAATTGTAAATCTCAGGAATGTCATTGTGATCATTTCCCGCATTGGCTTGTCTTAGAGAATGCCACGCTTCAAGGAACAACCTTTTGTCATGGTCTGGTTCACGATCGACAATTTTGGTATTTTCAAAATCCATTTTGTGAATGTGGGTGTTTGTGTGTTGCGCTATTTTAGAATATTCATCGTCGTTTTTCACAACCTCGTTCCCAGGGTCTTTCTTAGAACGGCGCGAGGCGAAGGAAAGACCCTGGTTTCGGCTGGTCACGTGTCACCCAGATTCTGGGTAATAAATTAAAATTATACTATGGGCAGGGTGGGAGAGGAGCGTGTTTGTCGCGTTTGTAACAATATTTGCAATTCTGTGTGATGAAATTTAAATTTGCAACAAGAAATCGTGAAGAGAACTGCAATTAAAAATTAATATTTATCGTGATGTGACTTTCTGCTCTATAATCTAGTGTCGAGTTACAATTCAAGCAAGTTGGATCAGATTTCAACTTACAAAGAAAGCACGCCTGGGCGGCGTGGCAATATTAAGCACAGGAGGCCCAGGCTCGATTTGCCCGCGCCCGCCTGTGCCTTCCTTATAACGAGGGAAGGACGGAGACATTGAGACCAAAATAGCCCAGACTTGGCATATGTCACATGAAACTATCCTCGATTTTTCGCTTTTAATGCATTTCTTTCACGATTAATCGATATCCCCTGCAAGAATGATACCGTATAACTCTCAAAACAACGATGCTTTAATCAAAGAGCTTGAATTCGCTCTGAAATCCGTGAGGGAATAACAAAATTCGGCCAAAATATATCCGCGTGCTGGGTTTGCTGTGCAAAAGCGGAAGTCGTTGAACAACTCAAAATACACTCAACCCTGATTGGACAACGATATCAACAAACATTTCAAATTTTTTGAACAAACACAATGTGAAATACAATTTATTATAAATATTAACGTACTACAGTTATATTTACATGCAGTAATATTTACACTTTATTATAACGTTTGTGAATAGTTTTGTTTGTATGATTGAAATTATTACAGTACTGTTAAAATAATTTGAAATGTTTGTTGATATTCGTTGTCCAATCAGGGTTGAGTGTATTTTGAGTTGTTCAACGACTTCCGCTTTTTGCACAGCAAACCCGGCACGCGGATATATTTTGGCCGAATTTTGTTATTCCCTCACGGATTTCAGAGCGAATTTAAAAGCTCTTTGATTAAAGCATCATTGTTTTGAGAGTTATACGGTATCATTCTTGCAGGGGATATCGATTAATCGTGAAAGAAATGCATTAAAAGCGAAAAATTGAGGATAGTTTCGTGTGACATATGCCAAGTCTGGGCTATTTTGGTCTCAATGTCGCCGTCCTTCCATCGTTATAAGGAAGGCACAGGCGGGCGCGGGCAAATCGAGCCTGGGCCTCCTGTGTATTAAGCCTACAAGAAATTTCATATCGCTAGACCGACCAATGTGGTTTATATTTTACATTTAACTGTTAGTATTAAAGAATATCCTGATACTCGGACCAAAAGAATATATTTATTGATGAGATGTGGAATTGGAACGAAATAGCGAGATCTTTTGATTTCCGAAATATCGCCAAGACGCCAACTGTATCAAGATTGTTGATTATA